CACGCACACTTGACTTTAGTGTGTATATAATGTATGGCATACTAATAGTAAAATTTTGGCATAAAGATATCTTTGTTATGATATTATTACATACTCTTAATGAGTATTTACAATATGTAACTTACATATTATAATTATCTTTAAAAATATCTTTATAATGATAATCTAATATTATCTTTATAAAAATAATTTTATCTTTAATCAACAAACAGATATCAAAACAAGTCTATACAAATTTTAAAATATTAGTTTAAGGTTTGTTTGAATTTATCTTTTGTTAACAAATAATTTCTAAATCTAGCTAGTTTCCACATAAAGTTATTTTTTTAATTTATGCTAACATCTTAATCAACATAATTTTTAAGCATCACATTTTAAAGCGTCGTCGTAAAATTGAACGTCGAGAAACAAGCTCAAAAATAAGTTCAAAAGAAAATAATTCATCGTGTTGTTAACAGTGACGGATTCAGAAATTTTTGGTGGGGGAAGGGGATGTTGAATTTTGTACAACATTTGCGCCCCCTCCCCCTCCCCCCCCTCCCCCTCCCCCCCCTCCCCCCCCCAAAAAAAAAAAAGAAAAGTTGAAAAAAAAAGATATTATAGGATTTTCAGATTCTGGTAGGAAGTAGCATATCAATGTAAAATCAATCTGTCATTACACATTTTCAAAAATTTTATTACTTTAAAAACAAAAAATAAGTATTCACTACGAAATAATAATTTACTCTATCAACCCTTTAGTCGAACAAAATTCAATCAGTTCTGTGTAGCTTATCGTACACCTAATCTCTGAAATAAAATCGTTTTACCTAATTTTGATTTATCGATTAGTTTCTCAGTCTTTAATAGAAATTAGAAGAATATTTTTTTTTTAATGACAATTTTTTGAAATACTTTTAAAAGTAAGAAATTTATATAAGCACGTTCTTTTGTTTTTGTATTTTGTCATTTTTATTTGCTTATATTTATTAATGGCTCAGGGCCGACGACACAGGGGGGCCAGGGGAGCCCCGGTGAAAAAGATTTATTTAAGAATTTTTTTTTAAGATATAGAGGACTTTTTTCACAAATTGATGATTGTGCCTCCCCCCCCCCCCCCTCCACTTTAAAACCCGTGTCGTTGGCCATGTGGTATAAGTTATATTTTATTATAACGTTTTATGGTTATGCCGACAAAATCAATAGATCTTTTATCAGATACTAAGTTTTTATTTAAGCTAGTCTATTTCTTATTTTGTTAATTTTTATTTTTATTCTTTTTGATATTGTGATTATAATACCCTTGATCAAAAGTTCAATTATTTTATGGCATAATTTCCATTTAGCCTGGGCATTATCTTTTTCCTTCATTGGTCAAGAACCAAAATGAGGATCTTTGTTTAACCATGCTTCTTTGAAATAAGCCTTTTTTTAAATATAGAAATAGTTTTTATCGATCTAAATTGATCATTAAAATATATACATATAATTAAAAAATAAATAAATAAAAAAAATTGTCAGGCCGGAACACATTGGTCAAAACAGCAATTTTTCAGTATGTACGTCTTTATGGTTTGTAAAGAATTTGAAACAATTTAAAAGTAAAAAAAAAGGTATTAATTTATTAAAACTGAAGAACGAACATTGAGATTATTTAAAAGAAGAAGAAAAATATTTATTTTTTAAAAAACTGAAGATTTAAATGTTTAATAACTAAAAATAACTTAGAATTTGAACAAATTTATAACCGGATATAAAAACTTGAAATACAATTACACACAATACTCGAAAAAAGCAATTGAAAGTTGATTAAATGGATCCTCTTACCGAAATAAACTATTACCGATAATATAATTTTTATTTACCGATAAGACAATTTAAACAAGTAAACATTTTATAAATGCAACAAATTTCAGAGGTAGTAAACATTTTATAAATGCAACAAACTTTAGAGATCGAAAGAATCAATAATCACCACAAACAAGTTATAAAGATAAAAATGTAAACTGTATTATTGAAATATATTAAATAAAAACTAAAAAACACCACACCTTGAATATACAGTGTCTGTTTGGGCTCCATATTTTAAAACTGATTTAGCTTTGGTTAAATCTGTTTAACGTAAAGCAACAAAATGGGCTTTAAGTTTGAGTAATCTTCAATACTGCGAAAGACTAAAAAGACTAAATCTACCATCACTTGAGTTTCGGCGCCTACGATGCGATCTTATCCAAATTTTTAAACTAATAAATCGATTTAATATAATTAATAATAAATATCAACCAAAATTTATTAACTCATTGTCACGTGGTCACAATCTTAAAATAAGACACAACCAATTTAAAATAAGACACAACTAATCTTAAAATAAGACACAACCAACTATATAATATATCAGCAAAATATTGGAATGAACTACATGAGCAAGTAACTTTATACTCAAATGTACTTTCTTTTAAAATATTTATAAAACTGGTTATTTATAGCAGGGTGTTTTCCCTGCTCGCTGTATGTTTATATTGGATGTATACTTTACGGCTACAACTATAATAATAATAGTTAATGGTTTTAATTTTATAATATTATTTCTGATTTATTTTCATTCAAAAATAAGAAATACAATAAGCTAATACAGGTAATATAAAAATTGCTTTAAGTAACACCGAAAAAAAAAACTTATTGAAATATAGTGTGCATTGGTGGTGGACATTATACTTTTTTAAATTTGAT